TTGGGTCACGGGGGCTGAATTCGGGTGCAGTCAGGGTTGATGGCCAAGGTTCAGTTCCAGACCCTGTGTGCCCCAGGACACAGGAATGGCATCTCCAGCCCCCAAAGGTGGGAAGTTCGTGTTTCGACCAAGGGGGAAAACATGGCCTTTCCGTAATGACTAAACTTGTATTAGTAATTAGTTGTTCAGTGCCTTACTGTCACACTTCTCAATCCGCCTGCTCCCCGGAACAGCCATGGCTGTTACTCTGCCTTTTTGTTTCCTTTCTCACATCCTCCTTTTATTTGTTTTTTCCCCTGTTTTGGATATTCTCCATCCTGCTGCGTTTCGTTCCTGTGAGCACCAGTCTCGGGTCCCAGCCCGCTCCCGCTCTCTCCTCACCCCGTTACTCCGTTACGTGATCAGAAGGTAGTTGCTGGTGACCATGTGGGCTCGAAACCTGATCTAACAAGTGGGAGACAGATCTGTGTTCCCACCTTCCAGTCGCTCTTTCAGGCAGGCGGCCGGGCAGTCGCCGCTGCCTGGGCTGCTGCAGCCGTGGAGTCTGTGTACTTGGAAATGAAAACTTCAGATGCAGAAAAATCTGATTTTAACATGTGGACCATAGAACTACACCATGGGGACTGTACGTTTGCCACCCCCGTTTCAGAACACGTTATCCATTACGCACTAACTACAGTTCAGTACTGTAAAGACAATTAACATTTTGTTTGTGTTGGTATTTTCCCTGACTTAAAGATAATTCAGTAGTATTTGGATAGTGCATAACCTACCTGTTAATTATGCCAATGTTTCTGCTTTTAATGTGCATGAGGTTTCCAAGAACAGGAAACGTTTAAGTATTGTGGACTGAGCAGCCGGGCACGTCCCAGTGCTCTATTCCTGACTGGGTTGTAGGTTTTAGGGCTTTTTCAGTTTCATTCTAAGGTTTTTTGTTTGTTTGTTTTTTTTTTCAAATGTAACAAAGCACGTCTTATTGTTATGCAACAAACTTACCACCGAAGGTCACTTTTAGTGTTGGTCCCACCATTTTTTTTTTTTTAATGCAGTATATTCACCTGTAAATAGTTTTTGTGTAAAATTTGACAGAAAAGTATATTTACTACACTGTAAATACATGTGACAATATATTGTATTATTTTGCTTTTTTTGTAAAGCAGTTAGTTGCTGTATATGTATAACATACAAATTTGATTATTCTAGTGTTAGTAACTGTTAACTACTACTACTCCTTCCTGCTGTTGCATTATGTCATTTAAAAAAAAAAGAAAAAAAGCTGTGTACTATAAACTTACACTGTGTATGATATCTTACTATTTCCATTTGGGCCTCAACTTTGAAAAATGTTTCCTTGATCCACAACCCTGTTCATATCGTAAGCAAGTGTGTGACAGCTGGCAAGAGCCCTGCTGGCCCAAGCGCAGTTGGGAACTGTAGGTAAAAAAGGTAGAAACCCGGTTTCAGATAATTGTTGTTCACCCCATTTTTCCCCCATGTATGTACTTGCCCTTTTTTTTGAAGTAAAATGTAAATTCAACCTGCTTCACGTTGTTTGAAGGTCATTCACTTGTGTTTCGGGATGAAGCTGATGTGTTCTGAAATCCCTTTTCTGTTTCTTGTGACAGTGAGATTTGGAGGGGTCCTTTGGGTCTCAGCGCAGCAGGTGCTGGATCCAGCCCAAAAACCCACTTTCTCTGGGGAAAATCAGAATCAACCAGTGTCTCTGCTTTGTCTTTCCAGAATGGTGCTTCTCTGTGTGTGTGTGTGAGATCTGACACAGTTCTAATTAATGGCAAAACTGATTGCCTGGGGATAACTGAGGACAGAATTTGGACAGAGGAAAGCCCATTGTCATGAATTTCATGTCACTTCAGTAAGATTATCATAACTGAATAATAAATCAGAATATTTCTTTTTAAAATGTAAATTTAATATTTTAATAAAACAGCTGCTTGGTCTTTAAAGAACATTTCAGTATAATTTGTCTATTTGAGCTTTTCTAGCTTAGAAGCTTGAAGTTTCAACTGTCAGGCAACTTTTATGACAAATGATTAATCAAAACTATTTTTCTTTTAGGGGAATACATTACTTTCCTATTAAAAATGTATAAGTACTCATATTCTGGCTCTGTGAATCGTAAAAGGATGTAAAAACACATTAAAGCGTGACTGCATTGACAACTTCTGACATATCTCATTGAGCTGGGGTGAGGTCTGGTTCCTCACATCCTACCACAGGACTGAATTCTCCTGCAAGTTGGTCACTTCAGCCCGTCAAATGCTTTTTCTTTTTCTACCCTCCCCTTGGGCCCATCTGCACAGGAAGGGTGGACAGGGAACATGTGAACCTAAACAGAATGTGATCAGTCACTTGATGT